TATCCTTTTTTTTGAGGTGGAGGAGGAAGAGAAAAGAAATTCTGGTCCTAAAAAAAGGAAAAAAAGGAAGTTGCTCATTGCAGGGCCCGAAAACTGAGTTTTCCTGAGCTCTGCGGAGGAACAACCTGAATCCGATGATAAAGAGAGCATAAGCGCATCCTGCAGTGAGGCGGACGGCTCTGTCCTCTGCTGTGGGCTATCCTGTCCCCAAAGGAAGGTCGGCAGGAGCTGCTCTCCTGGCCAACCTGACCTGCTGCCAAGAGCAGGGCTGGCAAGGCCAACCCATTGGTTTCCACCTGAAACTCCTAAGTTTTGGCCTTAAAAGGGGACATCCCCCTCCGGCTGCAAACAGGAAGCTGCCCCCAGTTGCCATCTAAATAAATCGCTTCAGGCCATCTCTTATTCCATTCCCTAAAGCTTCCTGTCCCTGGATCACATGTCCGTTGTTTCACCTGTCCATCTCCACTCTTCAAACTAATTCCTTGGCTGTTTTTTTTATGTCCATGTTTTCATTTGTGCCCATCTTTGCCACTGAAGTGTTTTTTCTTCAGTGATTGATGGTTTCGCTAAAGTGTGTGGGACTTGGGGGAACCCACCTGTTCATAAACACTCTTAGTCCTGTAACAGTGCCATCTTCAGTTCTCATATTTTTTTTCTCCCATTCTCTTTTGTTTGTTTTCTCCCCCTTGTGTCCTTTTGCTACCTCTTCTGTCCCCATCGTGTTTCTGATGCTTCTTTGTGTCTTTGCGATCAGTGTTTACACATAAACTTTAGTCCTTTGCTTTTCTTGAGCTCTTCTGTTCTTGTGTTTTGGGATTTTTCTTAACAGCTTTAGCCTTTGGCAAAATTTTAGGGGATAATTCTGCCTGTTGTCCATCTCTTGCTCTGAGACAGCCCACTGAGCCACAACTGTCCTGCGCCATGGGTGCAAATACAAGAGCTGGGCATTCGAGTCTCCCCACCTCTCTGGTTTTGCTGTGTGCTCAGCTGTTTTATTACTCCAAACTTTGCAAATTCCTGTAGCTTTGACTGTGTCGCTCTTCCAGGATTCCTGAATGAGCTCTTTTGGGCTGCTTTTCCTTTGTTCCCACTGTGTTCTTTTTTTTTCTCTTGATTTGTGCTTTCTGTTTTGCTTTGCTTTGCTTCCAGCTTCATTAGTAAATGTCTCCCTGTTTCCTCCAGCCTCCAATGCTGCCTTTGCCTCATTTTTTCATAGTTTGTTCTCCTGCTTGGGACCCTGAGACAGTTAAATTGAGGGGGAGGTATATGTGTGTGTATATATATATATATTTGTGTATATATATTTATATGTATATAAAAATATATATGTATATCAAGCCAGCTGTTACCGTGGCTCTTAGTGCAGGTAGGCCATGCATGTTCTGGTGCTCATGTCAGACAGGGCTTTTGGGGTGAATTGGAGAATCTTGCTGAAGGGCCTGGCTTAAGTATCTTAATGAAGGTACTTAAAGGAAGAATATCCACCACAGGCAAAACTCCTCATGCAGAAGCAGCAAAAACACTCCGATGGTGCCAAACTAGTAGGAAGACAGTTAGAGCTTTTTCCATTTTTTGGAGGGGAGCCAGAGGGTTGTAGCCAGCAAAGAGGCCTTCCAGCAGTTCCCGCTGCGGTGGGAGCAGTTGTTGAGCCACACTTAGCTCTGAGCAGGACGGAGCAGATCTTACCTGCACCTTGCCCAAACATTCGGGGAGATGGGAGAGCTGGTGACTTGTCTGTGGACGTTGCTTTCCAAGGACAGCCAAGCTCTACCTGCACAAGCGGCTGCTGGACGTGGCCTCCAGAGTTGACCCTCCAGGATCTGCTAGAAACGAGCACCAAAAAAAGTCTCTGCAGTTCCTGGCAGGGCATTTAGCTGTAACCTGCTAAAGAAGTCTGCTTACTC